TGACATTATGGGAATGACAAACCAGGCAGTTTGTGACTGAGGTAAGTAATCAGTTTATAAGACTGTGGAGGAGGAACAGGGCCTTCCTATTGGTGCATATAGGAAACAGGTACTGTCTGATTGGTTGTTCTCTCTTTGTATCAGACGACAAAGTCACATGACATAATGCATCATGAATGTCTTATTAATCTGTTATACTGTGTCACAGGGGCAGGCCAGAAGTGATGGACGACGACTGCTTGCCATTTACACAGAGGTCAAATACAGCCCACTGTGACCTCTGACCTCAGCCAGACCTCCAAAGTCATTTTGAATTTTTTTATTTTAATTTTTGTGCACATATTAAAGTCTGGTTGAAATGTAAAATGGGTATACTGCTTTGATTTGGATGATTATTAAGGATGTTTAAATCTGAAAATGTTTGAATCATTTTTCAGGTCAGTGGATCATTGTTGTATGAGGTGATGCTAAACTGAATGGGGTCGATGCTAAATTCAGTTTGCTGGCGTTTGTCTCGGTCTACAAAATGACCACAGAACTGGTAAGTGCAGCACAAGCTGCCTTTTCATGCTTCATTTACTTATTTTCTGTAATGGTGTTGACATGAAAGTCTCTCTCTCCCTCTCTCTCTCTCTCTCGCTCGCCCCATAAAGCCCTCCCCCCCTCCCCGCCATCCTGACTTGACCATGGGCCCCCACACCCAGTGTGTGATGTGCGTGTAGGAAGGGGCAGCTGTGGGTCTGTGGTCTGATCATCATCTGATCATACCAGGTCCAAATCTCTGTGACTTCCAGTAAGCTAGCTAACGTTACATCGATTGCCACTTAGGGTTGCTGTTTGCTCCTTGTTTCACAAAACATTAATTGTTCCATATGTTATACAACATGACTTTGAGACTGTCAAAATTAACTTTAATACAATCAAAAGCTGTAATCAGTTTTATCTGTTTTCCTGCTTCTAACGAGTTCTCCCATAAAACTGAGGCGTTTACAGCATCATCACTTCCAGTGGGAGTGCAGGATCTATGGCTTAAGTCTGTGTGTAGAGCATTTTCAGTCGCACATGGCAGTTTACGGTGATGCCAAGCAACATGCCACTGGATAGAGGTTCACCGCTAACATGAGAGGGAACAAGCAGAGTCTTGCACAGCTTCAGTACATGGTAATGAATGATGCATTGTGGATATTTTGAATATGCAAATTTGATTAATAAATATGTAGAATAGTAATTCAGGCAGAACTAACAGACAGAACTACATAAACCCAACATCATGGTCAGCTTAGCGGCCATGTAATAACCATAGCTAATAGGAAAAAAATCCATTTAATTTTGTTTGATGTGAAAGAAGTCAGAGTTAAGTTTGTGATAAGTGCTTATTTGTTTGTTTACTTTTGTTATTTTTCTAAAAAAAAAAAAAAATTATAATAATGTAGTGGATTGGGGGGGGGGGTGGTTGGCCAAAAAGAAGATTGAGTTTAGGGCCCCAGCTTGGCTAACAGATGCACTGCATAAACCTCTTTCCGACCAGAAGCCATGGTTTACAGCAGAAGTTTGCAAACCGCTTAAAACCCGAGACGCTGCATTCAGAGCAGGAGATGAGGCAGCACTCAGGAAGACAAGAGCCAACCTGTCCTGAGACATCAGGCCAGTGAAGTGTGAGCGTGATCAAATACATCAACACTCACTTCAGCAACATGAGACACACGGAGCATGTGGAAGGGCCTCCAGACCATCACAGACTGCAGACCATCTCAGACTCCAGACCTACACCACACAGTTGTGACGCTGACACCTCCCCCACTGACACACTGAACACATTCTATGCACAGCTTGAAGCTCGGGGACCTTCTGCAGGCGAGCGACGATGTGCTGATGCTCTCCTTTCTGCACCTCCACGGAACCACAAGCATGGTAGATGGACTGCTACGTGTGAATGCCTCTGCTTTCAGCGAGATGTGGTTCACGAGGGATAAAGTTCTTAAGTCAGGTCTTGTTTTGAATGTAAACAACTAGAAGCTCATTAGATTTTAAACTATAAACAGAAAATGCTTACCAGAGCTATCGGTGCTCACATAAACATGAATAACGCAAAGATATGTGTATTTATTTTATTTTAAGTATTGTGTTTTTATATGAGCTTAACATTTTGATCTGAATCAAAAATATGTGATAAAACACTGTGGAATATGAACTCACATATTCAGTGGTGGTCCCTGGCTGGGGCATGATGGGTAATTGCAAACCACTGATGCCACCCCAGGGACGACAGCTATTACTAATGGAGATGTTCTTTAATGCACGGGTTTACCCAGTCTGAAGCCCAGGGGTGTCGACTTAGCAAACTGCCACGCCCATTGCCACACAACCCGGCCGCCCCGGCCATACATTTCACCTTCGCCCCTCCTGGCCCACCCCCCCCCTGCTACCTCACCATAGGAAATAGGGGGGCGCTGAAACCTCAAACACTCCAGAGGCCTCTGACCACATTAATGTGCCCCGGTGTCCAACACAAAGTGAAATTGGGTGGTGAAGTTTGCCGCGGGTGGGGGTTGGACATGCATTACAGCTTCCCTAGTGCGGCAGATGGGCTTTAGCCGGCCTGCATATACTACTAACTAAGCAGGATATCTTATGGGGAGCAGCTGGTTCACAGACTGAGCTCTGGTCAGCTTTGTGTTACACATCAGTACCTGTGTACCAAGACTTTTACAACTGACTTACAGTATAAGTTTTTTAAAGGTAAACAAAATGCAAAACTGAACTGGCAGACTTGCAAAAATCAATTCAGGCCATGAAGTTTAATGTTCAGATAAAAGTTCCTGCACTTTTCACTGGTGCACCTGTCATTTTCTCTCTCACACTAGTGTAACGGTATTGACACCTCCATCTTTGCAAATGAAAAGCAGTCTCCGCCCTTCACAGAGGAAACTGTGTGTAGATGACAAAATGAGTCATGGACACGACGTGCATGTCTCTGATTATACTGCTCTGTGAGTGTTGTGGAGTAGCAGTGGAACCTGGTAGAGTAAGTAATTTCTTTATATCTTTCATGAAAGACTCGTGCGTGTTACTTGATTTACATGATGGGGTTCGGTCTGACCTTAGACTGTCATGTTGAATTGGTATTGTTCCTTCTGACAGATTTCACAGGATCTAATGAAAGAACCTCTGATGAAGAAACTGATCATTTAGAAAATGTCACCATTAGGCTTCTGATTGCAGGTAAGAGTGAAGCTATTTTCCTGTCAGATAATCCTTTGCATGGGTTTACCTTCCTACTCTAGTTTAATGCGACAGGGAAGATGTTAAATTATTGTAACAATGAATTATAGTTATAATATTATTTGATTCTTACGTATAAGAAAATGTATGAAACGATATCTACCTTAACTCCAGTTTGTCATTATCAGTATCATGACTAAGTACTTTCATAAAATATAAAAGAAGAATATGTGTGTGTGTGTGTGTGTGTGTGTGT